CCACTCTACATTTCCATTTATACGCTCGAGTATATGCTAAGTTTTTTTAGCCTATTACTACTAAATATGTGTTCTTGTTACAATGACGTTATGTTGTAAAATATAATTACAAAACCAAAAGTTATTCACCATTGTCTTTCACTGTTTTTGAAAGAATAATGAACTTGTTTGAATTTAAACAAAATGACTGCATGCCCAGCCTTTGTTAGTTTCTGAAGGCTGTGGTCCTAGTCCCAGTCCTCTGCTCGACCCTGACGTCCTGGCATAACGTTGACGTCGTACAACTTAAGATTATTTGTTCAAAACGTTACCTAGCTCTATAACTCTATAATTAAAAAAAATCCAGAAAAAATCCGGAAAATCCAAACAAATCCGGAAAATCCAACAGATTTTCAAAAATCCAGAAAAAATCCGAACAAATCCGGAAAATCCGAACAAATCCGGAAAATCCAGCAAATTTTCTCTTCAAAAATCCGCTAAAATATCCGGGAAAAATCCGCTAAATCCGCTCAAAAATCCGCGGATTTTTAAAAATCCGAAAATCCCGTACGCTTTTTTGGAGTGAAATACCGTGGCTCTGAAGGGCCATGCCATGACATGGTATATTTTTTTAAATTTGTTCCACCCAAAAAATTGACTGTTCATTTTATACTTATAAATAAGATCTCGTATTGTTCAAATTTAATTTAAACTGAAACTTTTCCTTTAATTGACTTATAACTCAAAATTCTGACTTATAACACGGAATTCTGACTTATAACTCAGAATTCTGACTTATAACACGGAATTCTGTCTTATAACTCAGCATTCTGACATATAACACGGAATTTTGACTTATAACACAGAATTCTGACTTATACCTCGGAATTCTGACTTATAGTTATAACACGGAATTTTGATTTATCACTCAGAATTCTGACTTATAACTCGGAATTCTGACTTATAACACGGAATTCTGACTTATAACATGGAATTCTGACTTATAACTCAGAATTCTGACTTATAACGCAGAATTCTGACTTATAACTCAGAATTCTGACTTATAACTCATAATTCTGACTTATAACGCAGAATGCTGACTTATAACACGGAATTCTGACTTATAACTCGGAATTCTGACTTATAACACGGAATTCTGACTTATAACTCAGAATTCCGACTTATAACTCATAATTCTGACTTATAACGCAGAATTCTGACTTATAACTCATAATTCTGACTTATAACGCAGAATTCTGACTTATAACACGGAATTCTGACTTATAACTCGGAATTCTGACTTATAACACGGAATTCTGACTTATAACTCGGAATTCTGACTTATAACAACGGAATTCTGACTTATAACACGGAATTTTGACTTATAACACGGAATTTCGACTTATAACACTGAATTTTGACTTATAACACGGAAGTTTGACTTATAACGCAGAATTCTGACTTATAACACGGAATACCGACTAGTAGACCCAACTCGAAATTCTGACAGAGATCATCAAAAATCACATGCAATTCTCCATTCTTTCAAACACAATGACTTATCGCGACAAGTTGATTCTTCGGATATTGATATGGTTTGTGCTTGCTTTCCCATTATGTACTTGTATGGTTTCCTTTTATCTTCCTGTCTTGATGACAGGCAGTCCAGACCGTGATCAATTGTACGCTACTTTGAGCTTGGATTTTCATACAAAGAAAATAATAGCGTTCCGTAGCGCCTATCATAGCATACGAATATCCTTGCGTCATCTTAAAAAGATATTATCTTCAAAGAGATGTTACAGAAGAAAAAATCACTCAAATATTCGTGAAGTTGTTGATGCAGTAGAAAGAGAACTAGATGGAAGTGTTGGTGAAGTTGGATACAGGCATATGCATCAGAGATTGCTCACAAAGCATAAGCTTGTTGCATCAAGAGAGACTGTGCGAAAAACGATAGCTGCCCTATAGACCCTGAAGGAGTGAGCCAACGTTCGATGAGAAGATTTAGACGCCGTGTGTATACGCGATAGAGGTAATTTTCCGGTTAATTTAGCTACTACAAAACTGTCCAAATCCAAAGGGTTTTAACTTGTCGTATCCGTCGATATGCCACATATCATTTGGACCTCTTACAGAGAACACATGGCGTCTAAATCTTCTCATCGAACGTTGGCTCACTCCTTCAGGGTCTATAGGGCAGCTATCGTCTCTCTTGATGCAACAAGCTTATGCTTTGTGAGCAATCTCTGATGCATATGCCTGTATCCAACTTCACCAACACTTCCATCTAGTTCTCTTTCTACTACATCAACAACTTCACGAATATTTGAGTGATTTTTTCTTCTGTAATATCTCTTTGAAAATAATTGATCTCTTTATAAGATGATGCAAGGATATTCGTATGCTATATGATAGGCGCTAAGGAACGCTATTATTTCTTTGTATGAAAATCCAGGCTCAAAGTAGCGTACAATTGATCACGGTCTGGACTGCCTGTCATCAAGGCAGGAAGATAAAAGGAAACCATACAAGTACATAATGGGAAAGCAAGCACAAACCATATCAATATCCGAAGAATCAACTTGTCGCGATAAGTCATTGTGTTTGAAAGAATGGAGAATTGCATGTGATTTTTGATGATCTCTGTCAGAATTTTGAGTTGGGCCCACAAGTCGGTACTCCGTGTTATAAGTCAGAATTCTGCGTTATAAGTCAAAAGTCTGCGTTATAAGTCAAACTTCCGTGTTATAAGTCAAAATTCTGAGTTATAAGTCAAAATTCCGTGTCATAAGTCAAAATTCCGTGTTATAAGTCAAAATTCCGTGTTTTAAGTCAGAATTCCGTGTTATAAGTCAGAATTCCGTGTTATAAGTCAGAATTCCGTGTTATAAGTCAGAATTCCGTGTTATAAGTCAGAATTCTGAGTTATTAGTCAGAATTCCGTGTTATAAGTCAGAATTCCGTGTTATAAGTCAGAATTCTGAGTTATAAGTCAGAATTCCGTGTTATAAGTCAGAATTCCGTGTTATAAGTCAGAATTCCGTGTTATAAGTCAGAATTCGGAGTTATAGGTCAGAATTCTGAGTTATAAATCAAAATTCCGTGTTATAACTATAAGTCAGAATTCCGAGGTATAAGTCAGAATTCTGCGTTAAAAGTCAAAATTCCGTGTTATAAGTCAGAATTCCGTGTTATAAGTCAGAATTCTGAGTTATAAGACAGAATTCCGTGTTATAAGTCAGAGTTTTGAGTTATAAGTCAGAATTCCCTGTTATAGGTCAGAATTCTGAGTCGTAAGTCAATTAAAGGAAAAGTTTCAGTTTAAATTAAATTTGAACAATCCGGAGATCTTATTTATAAGTATAAAATAAACAGTCAATTTTTTGGGGGGAACAAATTTTAAAAAAATATACCATGTCATGGCATGGCCCTTCAGAGCCACGGTAGAAATGCCCCTCGGAGAAAACTATATATTTTTTTAATGCTCATGTATTCGGCCACTTAAAAGCGAAAAAATTACAGCTTAAACAGATATTGTAAAATAAATGTTTTCCCATTTATTAAAAGAAGGTTTAACAGAATAACAGCAGCAGTGAAAACAAGTCACGAATATATTCTCTACCCATTTGTGCCATGTATTTTTCACTGATATAAATATTGTAAACAAAGTAAAAGTTTCTGTTTAAAAACACTTTTTCAAGCATATTATCGTGAAACGACAAGAAAAAATACAAAAATATAAAAATAACATACCTTTTTCATTGTCCTTTTAGTAGAAAAACGTTAATTAAATCAAAACAGATTCATTTTTTTATGTTTTTGATCGGATCTGAACATGAACTTGTCGTTGTCAAAGCCAAAGCCAAAACAGGCATAAAAGATTTTATTCCAAAGCTTCTCTCAGTTCTCTGCTACCATATTCATGAAAAAAGCATGTACATTTTTACTGACACTATACGTCTTTTTGTGTGTTTCTTGCCAGTTTTCTCGAGTTTTCATATTTGTGTTTTATATCTTAACTTTTCAATTTTTGTCAGCCTCGCCACAGAATAAAGAAGATAGAGCTGGGGCCGGTTGTATCAAAGGCGTTTAGCTTAAACGGTGGATAAGTCAAAATTTTAATAACACTCTTATTTTTCTCGTGAATCAGTCAACTTAAATATTGTGCACCGAATATGTAGTTGATTTAATGATTTTGATTTAATGATTTTTGATTTAATAATATTAATGTTCGACAACTACTAAATTTAAATTTTAACAATGTAGTGCCAGGATACTCGCCACAGTGTCCCCAATTACGGCGAGTCCTTAATAATTACATCTAAATCACGTTAATATTAGTATTGAATAATCTAATAACAGACAACTGACAATACCTTATCATGCATTAATGATAATATGTAAACTAGAACATTATAATTGACCTCCGCTTGTGGAGATTTTAATTTAGGGCGATTAATTAAACTGAAATCTGTTCTATCACGATGCATTACATGCATGTCCTCACAAATGTCTAATGTAACGTTGGATAGATTTATTGTCATACGGTCCCAACAAGCAGCAACGTAGTCGATCTTCCAGCCGAAAATAATTACTTTTGATTCGGGTCAGTAATTATAATAGATAATTACTTCGGCCAAACGGCATTATTCGATATATTGCAGCCAGCTTCGGCCTTCGGCCTCAGCTGGCTCCCATTCATCACGCTGCTTTTAATCTTTGTTCGGACCTGTATCGACAGGCTTGAACATGGTAAGTGCTGCACCCTAAGAACAAGTTAATTCTTGACAATGTTACAGCATTGTCACAACAACAAAGATTAACATTAGATTTATAAGACCTAACCAGGAGCAGCGAGGAATTAATAGATAATTACTGAGGCCAACGGCATTATTATATTGCAAGTAATTCGAACCATGACATTAGACACGTCATATTTTCGAAATGCTTTAGTTGGAACCAGAGGAGGAATGAGGGTCTTCCCACAATGCATTGCACCTTATTATTATTCACAATTACGATTTTCAACGAACGTTTGGGGAAAAGTTGTTGAAATACATTGCGATTTTGGCTCCGTTTATCTCGTTTTTTCGAAGGTATGTTTTTATATTTGTATTATTTAAGACCCTAATTAAACTATTTTTGATTTGTTTGGTACAGGAATTGCTTTTTACTTATGCTAATTACGTATTGTAATGATGCTTGATTCGGGTCAGTGGACACGGCAATAAAATGACCTTGATATAATGCAGAAGCAAACTCACTTTTTTTTTAGGAAAATAAAAACAAAACACGTCATCGAATTCGGGATGATTTTTTCTTTCTACTGTTACTTTAAAACATGAGTTTGCTCCACTAAACCGACAAGTAATCGCGGTTTGAAAATGGGGTACTTTCGCTATATTCTATCGCCGATGGCGGGAATAGACCTCCTGATAATCATCATGGCGCGAAGGAAACTATTGTACTAAATCACTATTTTCCATGATAATTTTGAAACATATGCATATATGTTCCTACATATTTTAAGTTTAATGTAATTTCTAAGGTTAGATATGCTTTATATGTTTACTGTACCTGCACTGACTGTATTTTTTTTCATTTTATTATAGAATTCGGCTATTTTGGAGTAAACTGGAAATGACAGTGGGCCATTCCATTTAATGTACACCCCCCCCCCTGTGGACGAAGTCAATAAAATTTGAACCCCTAAGAAAAAAAGATCAAAGTGCCGACACAAACACCCCTCCAGAAATTACAGTGCGTCTACTGTAAGTGGGGCCACTTAGAGAACACTAACCAATCACATTGCAGAACAGAAAGTGAAAAAATCAACAAACGGCGCATTAGCCAATCAGCATTTGGGCAAAAACAATTCGAACAAATAAACGAATGTCAAACGGTAAAAATAGACATGTAAAAGTAAACATTGCAGTTAATGGCTTCCTGAATCTTTCTTTTGATTGGACGAGCTTTAGTTTGATTAGATTTTTCTTTCTGTTCTGCAATGCGATTGGTTAGTGTTCTCTAAGTGGCCCCACTTACAGTAGACGCACTGTAAGAAATTTTTGCCTTACCCCTCGGAAAAAACGCAAAGATCAAAGGATGCCGATGCACACAACCCCTCAGAAACGGCTTTTTCAACCCCCCTCAGAAATTTTCGTCCACAGGGGGGGGGGTGTATATTAAATGGAATGGCCCAGTTAATGATACTGCTATAAAACAGGTATATACTTCAGTGAAGGTGATACCCCAGGGAAACCTAATAATAAGAGACACAGAATTTCTCGTTTGAAGAATTCAACATCAAGCCGAACTTTGCTTTAGAGTCCTGGAACATCACCAATGCCAAGGTGTAAAAGTACAAAGGTTTTTACAAACATAATTCATAAAATACAGTACGACTACACAAAAACATAATTGTATATTTTTAATAAGACAATATGTTAAATATTATGCTAAAAGTTATTATCATAGTAACAGTAACATTGTATTTTAATGCTTTTTTGCCTGGGAGAATTTCTGTCCATAGGCATATGAGGCTGGGCGTTGCAACCCCTCCAGTCAGTGTTTAGTATTTCTGCAAGTCTGTATAGGAGATGTGTTCCTTCTATTTTATACCTCTTGTTCATCTATCAATAAACTCATGACAATGTCGGGCAATTTCTATCCACCCGTACGCCAATATTATTTTTCAATGCTGGGAGTGGCATTCCAGAAAACCTATAGTACACAAATTTCCTGGAGAAGCATGCCCACAATCCTGGTAAAAATCCACGAGTTTCTTTGTTGTCTAATTGTGCTGGTAGGCAGCCTGGCACTGACACTGGCACTGCCCCTCTCACTTTTGCTGTTTGTTTTGTAGTTTCCTATCAGACAGATTAAACTGACTCCTCCAAAGAAATTCCCAGTAAAACTTCATAAATGGACATATTTTGAAGAAGATAAAGCATTCATTGAATTCATATCTGTTGCAGACAATCATGCAAATGATTGATTGAAGAGGCTTACCAATTATGTAATATCTCTAGAGCAAAAGCATCACCTTTCATATACTTCATCATATACCATTCATGTGTACTGGTGAAATCAATGTGATGCAACATTTTAAAAACTTCTCTTTACTTTTGCACATAAAATTTTATTTTTAAAAACATTCTAATTATCTTTAAGTACAGTAATATTATGTTAATATTTTTTTGATTTAAAATAAATCAATTTTATCAACATCAATTGTGTAGTGTGTGATCTTTTTATTAAATGTGATGAGCAAGGGAACACTACACTGAAAACCATACATAATGTGAACCTCCGAATATAGCCCCCCCCCCCCCATGTATAAGCCCACCACATGTACTAACACTCACCTCATTCCAAATGTAAGCCCCCCCCCCAATATAAGCCCCACCCTGAATATAAGCCCCCCTGATTATAAGCCCCTGTCATTGTCTTTTTTAATCAAAGTGTGTTATTAATACATGTTTATTTTCCTGTTTATGACTGACTTGTTTATTACTAACACAAAAGATTGTCCATGTATAAGCCCCTTGTGTAAGCCCATCAAAAATCGTTTACAAAAGAATATAAGCCCAGGGCTTATAGTCGGAGGTTTACGGTAGATTGTCAAAAAACTGCAGAAATGATAAGATGGTGTCCATGCGATACAATACTTATGATAAAATCAGGGAAGTGAGGAAAACACATGCAGTACAGGAAAACAAGACTACCACAAAAAACTCCCCAGGTCTATCCTTACAGATAAAAGAAATATCAGTATCACACCCAGGGGCGGATCCAGCCAAAAATCTGACCGTAGCATTTTCCAAGACCTCGCATAGCTAGGGGGGTCCGGGGGCATGCCCCCCCGGAAAATTTTTGAAATTTGAAGCCCGGAAATGCCATTTCCTGCGTTCTGAGCACTGCATGTGACCATTAAATTTGTCCTCATTGTATTCATTTCTCAAGCAAAAATAAGCCAAAATGATCTCAAAATGTAAACTATTGCTCGCGTATATTTTAACATACGATATCGGTATGATACTCGTATCATACGCATATCATTATCAATTGAATACCGAAATGCGCGTATCATCTACGAACGCGTGTATCATACGAATACGCATATCATATGAACGCGCGTATGATATGAATACGCGTATCTTACGAATATATACGCATTACAAACAAATATTAGCGCGCTATAAAACACGATATATATACGCGCGTATCATAATTCGCGTATTAATTCCAATACATGCAGGTATACTGTACATACGCGCACAAACACTTTAATAAAGCGAAGTTAATAGCGAACACTATACAGTAAAAACTCAAATTAAAATATAATGTGCATCTCTTATCATTCATAAGGCTTACCTGACTGGAAATGATTCGTTTTACTATCTGATTTTATTTCTACCTTGACGCATATAAATCCTTTAGCTTTACGACGGCTTTCATTTCGAAATGCGCACAACCGTACTGTGGGTTCCCAATAGCATGTTGTTGATGAGCCAAACACAAATATCAGATATTCCATCGTTCTGGAGCAGTAGCCAATTTCATGCCACCGTAGCAAACTATAGCATTTGCCCCATTCCGATTGGTTTGCTACGTTTGACCGTAGCAAACCAATCAGAATGCCGTATATGCCAATTTTCGCTACGGTCAGATTCGACCTTAATGAATCTGACCGTAGCGAAAATTGATCATATATGGGCAACACGCTACGGTGTATTTCTGAAGGATGATATTTTCTAAGCTATAGTCCATTGCGTAATGACCCGCAAACGGGCAATTACAACCGTATTTTCGGGCGGGAATTCTTAAAACAATTAACGTTACGTATTATAAATGTCATCAATTTGTCAAAATAAAATGTTTTAGAACATATAAAACTAAATAAAATAAAACCTTGAAATATAAACAAGGAAAGTAAACAAAATATTGCTAAATTATATTTTAGATTGATTTTATGATCCATGTTAGAACTGGCCTATGGAAAATCTGACCGTAGCATATGCTACAGTTGCAACGGTCTAAATCCGCCCCTGACACCTATGGAGGGTGATTACCGCCAAAATTAATATTTGAATTTTGCATTCCAAGTTCTAGATTTTGTTGTTCGTTCCGTGCTTTTTGATATCAATGAATTGAATTTTGATATTAAAGAATTGAATTTTGATGTTCGCAATTGCATTTGCACTTCTGTTTGCACATTTTGTCCTTAAGCATTCCATTGTGATGACGTAACATTATGCGTGACCCTCAGAACACGATTTTCAACTCGATTTAATGATAATTTATTTCCCGCAAAAATTTTAATGTTACATACATGTAATATGATCATACATATAAATTTACAGTAAACAAGACGCTTGCTGAGCGTTTCATACTCGATCTAAAGAAGTGTTTTTGCTGGTGTTTTTAGAAGTGGAGAGTTTGTATTTGTAAATAATCATATTCAGCGTATTCACAATTTCACATCAAGATTTACTTCATACATTTCACATCTTAAAGTGCATTAATTTAATACGAGTTAATTCAGCGAGCTACTTGTGCCAAACCGAAAAATCGTGTGTCCACGTATCTTGTGGCCTGTAAGAACGCGTTTGTCCCCAAGAATTACCTCGACCGCGCTTCGCCGGAGGTTGATGAACGAGACTGCTATTGTTAGCCCTATTGTACAGGGAGAATAGTCGCCGAAATTCATCGTGACTAGAGGTTGTGGCTTGTTGACTTAGAGCAGGTTGAATTCAATTGGACGCACTGTATTTCCCGTATTGCTGTTCCTTGCACACCATCCTTCACTTTCAGCAGAATTGTGCGTTAAAATGCTTGCTGCACGGCGTAATATTAAAAGTTGCTGCTTCTTGTGATTTTGAACGGTTCTCAGCCATTTTATCCGTATGCTGAACAGCCGAAGTAACAATGTTGGAATAATTAGAGATAATTAAAATTTTTGCGGGAAATAAATTATCATTAAATCGAGTTGAAAATTGTGTTCTGAGGGTCACGCATAATGTTACGTCATCACAATGGAATGATTAAGGACAAAATGCGCAAACAGAAGTGCAAATGCAATTGCGAACATCAAAATTCAATTCTTTAATATCACAATTCAATTCATTGATATCAAAAAGCACGGAACGAACAACAAAATCTAGAACTTGGAATGCAAAATTCAAACATTAATTTTGGCGGTAATCACCCTCCATAGACACCAGACACCAATAAACAATTTTGCATCTTCTGCCAAACATTTTGTTTGAATGTTTTTTTAACCCATTGAGTGGTAGCACTCTCCCCCTGATGAGTAATGAGTCTAGTGTTAAACAGTAAAATAATCTGGTGTTAGGCAGAGTAAAATAATAGACAACTGGTTGATCATTTGAGCATAGATAACTGGTTGATCAGTATAAATCCTTGCAATGCATCACACAGTAGTGAATACATATATATATATAGTGTTGTGATAGTGCTGAATTTCCTCCATTTCATTCTCTACATTCACTGCCCCTCCTTCAGTTTCACCATCAACACTTACCTTAAAAACCAACTAGAGTGAATTTGTACCAGTGCAGGATTACCGCAATCAGGGAACAATTTCATCAATTTTATCCGTTAACCACAGCTGGACAAAGGACTATTCTTCAAACTATCTGTATTCCGTAAAACTATATAAACATGAACCTCACGACATTTCAAGTTCATCACACGGTAATCCTTCGGAATCAAGATTAAAGGCTGTTTTGACACACAGTGAACAAACAGAAGCTCGTGTCCACCCAAAAACGAAGCTTTCTTTCCACGAATAGTGCAAGAATTCACCATTTTACAATTTTTTTCTATAAATCTTTTCCGAATCCTCGAGGTGTAAACACAGCGAGAGCCGACCGAACAATGACGGCGCAGAGCGAGAAATCGATAATATGTAAAAACCGCGCCTGACCGCGTTGCATGCCGGTATAGTCCTCACTCCTCCTCTGGTTAAGATCTAAAGACTGATTTCCACTGGCACGTTTTTCGTACGCACGTAAAACTTTGAATCCTTAAAATATTTTACAAATAAGTTAACAAATTCATACTAAAACTTGCGGAGCAGTAAATTCTGTTGCTTTATTTATTTGGTTATTTTACAAATTTAAAGTTTTACGTGCGTATATTAAGCCTGGTGTGGAAATTAAGCCAGGCCCCGAGCATAGTTAATATATATTAACTATGTATAGAAGTATGGCCATTGTTTACGACCTTGCACGCAATGCACTATATGTTCCACGTGACCGAAAATCCAACATATTTCGTCACGTGACCCAGCCTTCCAAACCTGGTCTTCTATATTAACTATGCCCCCAGCTAAGGGGAAACTCCCGGCGTTTATGCCCACAAGTAAAGTTACATTTTATAGTACGCTACATTCTTCTGTCGGCCGCCAGTTTAAAACGTTCAAAATAAAATATTTTGGGGCTTTTGGGCTCAAAACATTATCAAAATGAAGAGAGAAGTGAGACGAATCCACTGGTGTGCGGCCGAAAAAGAGAAAACCAATGATACCAAAGGTATCAAGTCGAATCAAGGATCAAACGTACTGCATCTTTTATAATTTGAGCGTTTATCAACAAATAATACAATTTCGCTTGGCTTTCAAAGACAAAGTCAGAGGCCATAAATCGCTAGAATATTGTTGTCAGTTGTTTAGTAATACATTTGACATCCGTAGGTACAATTTCTCATCCGTGAGTACAATTTCTGATGCTGAATCGAACGGTGGTATTTTTATTCTTATTGCGCCATTAATTAGGCAATACAAATACAAGCACGGTCAAGGACAAACGTACTGCGAGTGATTTGATGTCAACAAGACAATTTCGCTTGATTTTCAGAGGCCATAAATCGCTAGAATACTACTGTTTAGTAATACATTTGACATCCGTAAGTACAATTTCTTACGCTGAATCGAACGGTGGTATTTTTATCCTTATTGCGCCATTTATAAGAGGCATTACAAATACAATATCATGTTTCGCACTGAGTACACTACAGAAAGTTTTCGATAAATTTTATATTGATATGACACCAATATGCTTCTCATAAAGTAGTTATAATTTAAAGGGACACTCCACCCCCAGAACAAGTGTCGCTAATAAGAAAGCTTTACATGAGCCTACCTTGGAATGAATATTCGTTCGCCTCAATTCTTTTTCGTTTGCGAGAAATTTAACTTTGTTTCACTGATTTTTCGTCCATTATCGCCGCCATGTTTGTTGAATCCGCGGGTGGTCCTATGAGTGCCGTGACGTAAGTGTGTGATAGAAACACATTGTATAATCAGATTTGTTTCGAAACAAATTGTATAATCAAGCTTTAGTCTTTAGAGTTCCTTTTAAATATTTTTTTAACGGAAGATGCATGGTTCCTGAGTGTACTAACAACTCGCGGAAAACTGTGGGAATCAGCTACTATAGAATTCCAAAAGAAAAAGGTTTGCGAGAAGCGTGGTTGGCGAGAATTCGCAGTCTGAGTAAACCCACGCGATATAAATAATTCATGTGTTTGTTCGGCGCATTTTACACCAGACTGCTTCGAAAGAACGCTCGATCTTGTGCCTGGCTACCAAAAAAGGCCAAAGCTAAAATCAGACGCGGTGAAATCTGTATTTCCGCGCAGTAAGCCAGAAAAAGCTAGAAGCACAGGGCGAAGAAGAAATCAAATCCGCTCTGAACAAGCCAGACAAGAGGTATTAAGCAAGCCATGAACGTTTACATGTATTTGTAGTATAAAAAACTTGTACATTATGTAATTTATATTTTCATTATTTTGTAGTTTTCATATTGTGGCAGAATTGATTTTCTGAACATTTCTACGTTATTAGACACAAATAAAGCATAAACACTTCAATAACATTTATGTTGTGTATATTTTTATTTGCTGCATATATTTTAAATTGTGTATTTTATACGAGTTCATGTTCTAAAAAAATGTACAACCATCATCTTAACTCCTTCCGACATCATATTGGGACAGTAATATGGAAGACAGACCATGCATGCTGTAACTGGAGCCTTTCTTAATCGTAGGTTCGAATAGATACGGCTGAAGCGAAAACTTTGCTTCGTCTGTTTCAAATTTTACATTATTCGATGATATATCTTCGTCTACTTCAGAAGAGCTGCTAGTACTCGATCGGGCCATAATTTAAAATGACCAGTAAGATAATAAACGATCAATAACAGAATTTATTTACCCAAAATCACACCGAAATGAACTACAAAGCTGTTAATTTATAGTGTTTACATCAAAGACTGAGTGTTTCTATCACACACTTACGTCACGGCACTCATAGGACCACCCGCGGATTCAACAAACATGGCGGCGATAATGGACGAAAAATCAGTGAAACAAAGTTAAATTTCTCGTAAACGAAAAAGAATTGAGGCGAATGAATATTCATTCCAAGGTAGGCTCATATAAAGCTTTCTTATGAGCGACACTTGTTCTGGGGGTGGAGTGTCCCTTTAAACTGCACAACGTAGTTTTAATAAATAACCTTTTACCTTGAAATTGTCTTTGGCTTTTTTATATTAAGATTCAGTATATTATGATTGTGCACGGGAATTGAACGATCCAAACTTCGGATTTTCAGAGTCGTGCACCAAGAAAAACGCATTAAATAAACTAGCATGAATGTCCAGAGCTAGACACAAAGCAAAATCCACAGCAAACAGGTACAATTCGGCCAAAATTTTCACGAAATGGGGCCCGGAATTGTTTGAAACATTTTGCCCACTCCACGAAAGGCCCCGCCATTTTGAAAAGGATCAAGCAGCTCATTAATATTCTATTTTGTGGCTATCAACGACGATCGGAAATCTGACATCCACCATGCGAGCCGAAACCTATACTCGTCTGGGGCACAGTGCCCCAGCGAGTAATAAGCGGAAAGTGCAGTGATTTATTCGAAACTATAACACGAAAAGGAACGAGCGAAAATTGTCAATATATATTCAACTGTTGACATATCTGTGACTGTGGAAATATACTATTTATACTTCTTGTCTTGTAACATTGTTTTAATACGCTTGTATGGAGGAAAATCGTTAACAAAAGTTTTCTTATTGCGGAATACACTGTTCAGTTTATCCCTTGGCCTTGGAAAAAGACAAAGCTTTCAAACTTGAGTGTCTCAGATGTGGCAAAAATTTTTTAAATAGCAAACGCTTTCTTAATTAAATCAATTGCCCTGTTTTAACTTTTAATATATGGGTGTGAGGTGCCTAGACATAAGGGAAAGGACAACTGGAATTTAATAGGAATCTAATAGATTTCCAAGTGACGGTTTATGTGGTGCAACAGAATATAAAGACCTGTCTTAATAATATTTGGCTTGGATTTGTTAACCAATGGAGGCATTCCATTCCATTTTGCTTGCCAAGTTCACAGGCAAAATATTTGCATGGATAAAATCCATTTTGCAAGGCAAATTTCCCTGTATCCATCAGTCACTGAGGAAATGTCCCAGTGATAGCTAGTGTTTTGCTATTGTTACATTACACAGCAACCACCCTGGTAATAGCCTTCCAATGGTGGCTATATATTAACTGTAAGCTGCGACAAGTTTACAACAATGAATACATTTGGTAAGCTTTAGATTAACTCATTGTCTGCACTCTCCCACTGAAGAGTAAAATTGTCTGATGTTAGACAGAGTAAAAGCAGGCACGCCCCTGCCAGGGATGAGACAAAAGGGCTTGTTGTGTGTATAGGGGCATTATTTGGTCTTACATGATATACATGCCAATCAAGAGTTACTATATTTTAAAGCAATATATGTCAAGAGCAATTTTATTTGAGCATGAACAAGGAAGATACATATAATTAGAGAATATGTCAGTGCCATAGCAAGGTCGATAATTTGGGGGGGGGGCTCATATTCATATATTTGTGTTCACATACCATAAAAACAATCGATTTCAAAAGAAATTAGTAACGCAGAACACGAGTATATGAATATGAGCCCCCCGCCCCAATTATCGAGCTTGCTACGGCACTATATGCAGACACACAAATTCCTGTATTTATCAAATCATGGATGTCAGTAAGTGTAATAGAAGTAGGCATATACAGTACTATATTAGAAAGAGGTTGTCACATGCCAACTGTTTTCACCACAGGGTTGGTAGGTTAGATGAATAATTAGACCAAATCGTCATTAGTGCCGTTTAGAGCAAACAAAACAAAAGGTCTAGTGTGACTGTGTTTGGCCTAATTATTCACCAAACCTACCAACCCTGTTTCACCAGGTTTAGCATATTTACATGATATTAAAGCCATTAAAGGGGTGAGGGGAGTTCAAAAACTGCAATTCCAATTCAACTATTCACCTGAATGAGAGAAGCCTAGTTCACAAATACTGTGGTATGTTGGCAGGTTACCAGTTCAACCAAATAATTCACAAAAGAATGTATGCATCAATCCCAGGCATATTAAATAATAATATGGTAGGCATATATGTAATGCAGGCTTTATAAGATGCCAACAAAATTC